TGATATCAGCTCGAAAACCTGCTCCGCGCCACCTCCTGGATATACAGGCGCGCGGTATGCATGCACACGTATACACGTGCACACGTGTGTGTGTGTGTGTGTGTGTGTGTGTGTGTGTGTGTGTGTGTGTGTGTGTGTGTGTGTGTGTCGCGATCCTTGGCTTAATCGCCGGCAGAAAGTTGCAAGTAACTTACGTGCTAGTACTTTGGTAAAACAGTTTCCGCATCCTCTCGATCAACGTCGCCCTCTGTATACGCCTCCTTCGCTTATAGCTATACGCGTCGCTCGACGCGACACATTAAGAGCTAATTAATTCGATCTAATTTAAGGACTATCTTTGGACGTTTGGCTCTGTCGCGCAGGGCCGCCACTCGACTTTTGTTGTTTCGTTTCTGTGCATCTCGCGATGCGAACAACGAACCTTCGGCCCATTCTTACCTCCTCGAAGAAACGAAGCGTCGCGCTTGTCGCGCGTTTCCAGGTCGCTGTCAGGTCTCGTCCGATCTCGAGCTCGATTACGCGCGAAAATGACGTGCCCTCGCAATTCGAGGTAAGACAGAAAGACACTGCGTAGTCCATTAGAGCGCTAATTAAGCCTTAGCACAAGCTTTGGTATAAATGAAAAAAATTACGTCGTTATACCGTGCCGTAATCTTAGAAGTCGAAGGAACATTGCTATCTTCAAAGAATTCGCGGTTGTACTGTGAGAGATCCACATCACGGGTTTATTTTGTGGAGGATCTTGTAAAAGAAATATTTATCCGGTAAGAATTAAAACTCTCGGCATTCTTTTTTCCTCATAATTCACTCTATCTTGATCTCCACCATGCCATCTTTCATCTCCATGATCTCTTATTATCACGAGCTAATGTTGATTCTGCGCGAATTAAAGTTTCCTTCTTCACACTCTATCTTGATTATCCCCCATCCTTCTGATGTCTTACACAAGAGAAATGTAGATAACTTTATATATAGAACAGAATTGCCTTTCTTCTCTATTTATCCTTCTCTACTATCTCTTTACCAACTCCCGCTTTCCCTTCGTATATTTTTCACTTTTTGATGACGTTTCCGTCTGCAGCTTTCGCTTATGCATATTTATGTTCTAGCTTCATCACTCCTTTTCAGAAACGTGCAATAAACCGAGAAACGCAAACAGGCGGATTTAGCGGTCTAATGTTGTACACAGATAGTTTCTCTGAGAGAGAGATTCTCGATCACGAGCGATCCGCGATCGAACGCCTTCGCCCCGAGGATATACGTTCGTTGAGCTGCCGACCTGCCAGGAGCGCTTCGGGATTTCGTGATCGATCTCGCGCCTATAAGGAGCGACCCCTTCCCGATGATCCATCGAACGGCGAATGCACTTCTCCCCTAGCGCAAATGCGGGAACGCACGCGGAAGTGCATCTCCGCTCCTCCCGGCGGCCCCGTGCCTCCCCTCCCCCACCCCCCAGCTACGTGTAATGCTCGCAGTCCCCACACTCGGAGAGCGTGGGTGTGGACGGACACTAGGTGGGATTCGGGTCCTCGTACGCCTTCTCGTAGTCCCGCCGCCGTATCACCGCGAAGTGGGTCATCTGGAAGGAGTTGGTCTTCTTGCAGCCGCGCTCCAACGTGCCCGTCATACTGTAGCCCATGTTGAAGTCGCTCGACGAGACGTTCGACGTCAGGTACAGCTGTAACAGGGCGGCAAGCAGATCGATACGATATCACTACGTTGCTCTCGCGCGCACATGCGAAACTCGAGAAGAGTTTCCCCGCAGTTCTTTTTTTTTCTATTACATTCCCGGCTATTACATTAATAATGGTAATTTTTATAAATAACAATAATATGAATGGTACACGTGTGCAAAAACTATATTAAATTAATTGCAGTATTAAATGAATGGTAATACGATAAGTATTTTTTAATTATTCACAAGTATTTTTTAATCAAGAAGTATTTTTTAGAGGCACTTTTTAAATGTTTGTTCAAGTATTTCTCTAACGCAACGAACGTACTGCAGTTACTTCATTTTTACATACAAAAAGGCGCGGCTAAAACCATTCGTCCAAATCCCTTGGTCAGACTGTTTGTAATTAAAAGTTAACCAGTTGAGAAAAAAAATTGCCGTAAAGCGTATCTGTGTTAATTAAAATATGTCCCAGTGCTCTTTTAGTAATTTACATTTAAAAACGCAGCTCTCGTACTTGCGCTATTACCGGAGATGATATTTCGGACGCAGTCCGACGAACTTTAACGGCAGATCGTTAGAAGCGCAGGCAAGCTCACGTTTGTCTGCCGATTCAGAGCATGGCGCGCTTGGCTGTGTGCCTGTATCCTTTATGCAGGCCGGCTCTCCATCAAAATTGCATGCGCGACAGTTATGGCTGACTGTTGGCCGCGCGGACACGTGTTATTTTCCGGTAGAAGCAGCCGCGCACTACACGTTCTGGTACGTTTCACGACACGCATAAGGAGCCGCGGTGCAGTAAGCGCGGCTTTCCGCGTTTTCAGCGTCGTCGTCATAAAACCCCCGCGGCAAGCGCTGCGCGACTCCCCCGTCGTTTGCCCGCAATGGCATCTACTTTAGGCATTTGGGGAATACGTGCGTGGCACGCTGTCCGGGTCTTTCCCTCCGCGGGAGGAAAAAGTCTGCTCTCGACGCGAATCCTCTCTCTCCGTGGCAGCTCGATAAACGTCGCGAAAACGTGTGCCCGAGGCGTGCCATCAACGTACGTACACACGCGAGACGCGTCGACGCCTTTTGTCGGCCCGACAGTTATTCCCCTCCGAGACTCGCGAGTCGTTTCGCGGATTTCCGTATCTGGCTCCTCCCGAAAAAGACGGAAATTAAAAGGTAAGTATGTATGATGAAAACAACGCGCCACATTTTCGAGAAGCGTATATGAAAATACGTCAGTGTAACGGCTGACGGTGAGCAGATGTGGCGTGTATATTCTCGATAAAGAGATTAACGAGCGTTACACCGTAGAATCGTATTTTTCTGCGTAGGTCCGGTATCCACCGGCGTGATTATCTGACGCTAAGCGATCGCGACGTAATAATACCCAGTGATAAATTCGATTTCGCGTGTTTGACGAATATGAAATTTATCACCGAGAAATACCACTGCGTCACGCTCTCGCATGTTTCCTCGGCTGTTTCGCGTTTCCCGGGCGAACCGCCGAGGTTGTGTGTGTGTGTGTGTTTTTTTTTTCCACAAGCTCCAAGCGATCTTGTTAATTCATACGTGACCACGTCACACCGGGACAGACATCCGCGGACCGGATTCTTCAATTCGTTTAATTCGTTTACAAAAAACGCGCGCGACCTGTTCCCGTAATTGTGGAAACGGGAACAACGAACGCGTGGACCGCGCGGCGCGCGTTACAACGCGCGGCGGTAGCGAGTTTTCCGCATAGCCGTATATATTTATTTAATTTATTTAATTATCGTCTCGCTGCGCGTCTCCCCTTGGCTCTCTCGAGATAGAGACGTCTAAAAATTGCATGCGCGCATTTATTGTGGTACTTTTTTATGCGGAGAGACGAAGCGCGGGGATACGTTGATCGCGTCGCGGCGCCGCGCGCAGTGAATGCGCGTTGCATGAGCGGAAATATCACATAGGAGACAAAATTTCTCGTAATCCGACAATCTGCAGATTAGCGGGCGGACTGCGAGCTTCCGATATAACGTCTGGTGCATCGTTTAGAAGGATTGTGCGAGCCGCGCCCGACGTTCTTTCGGCGAAATAAAAACTAATTAGTGTAATATAATAATGAAGAATAATTTAAATTTATGAATGAATTTTATTATTTAAAGATTAAATGTTATCTTTATAATATGAATTACATATTTCTCGTTCAAATATACGTAAATAAACATAAATATATAAAAGGATATTTTAAAGAATCAAAAAAGAAGATATCAAATTTATATTAAAAATTAAAAGGATTCTTATTAAAATAAAAGTTTATCTATATTTATCTATTTATTTTTATTATACTTATATGGATATATATTATTATTTCGTGATTTTTAAATAATTTTGAGTCAAGACAAAATAGCGATACAGTAAAATACAACGTAATGCAGATTTCAAAAAGGTTAAATGTTATTCCTCTACTAGACACGACAACCGACGAGTTTGTTAACAACTAACACGTGAGCTAGTTGAAAGCGTATTATCGAATTTACGAATTGCAATAGGAAACTCTGGCAATTTGTTACGCATTTCATTAATAGTAATTATTACAGGATGCAGTAGCTGTAAAATTTTACAAATTACAAGGTGGCATATTTTATATTGATAAATTATTGACAGCTAAAAGCGAGAATCAAAACTTAAATTTTGCATTAAAGAATATACATATTTAATAAAGGATCACGCACTAATCATGTGGAAAAGTGGCCACTGTTAAAATAGGAATAACATGTGCGAAAGTATACTTTATGAGGTACTGATCAAAAGTCTCATGGCATCAACCTTCTAAAACCACGGCTAGTTTTTACACTGTCAGCTCATAAAGACTGCTTGAAATCACTTTATTTTAGAAAATCATAAAAGTGCGCTTATAATAAAGTGATTTCAAGCAGTCTTTATAAGCTGACAGTGTAAAAACTAGCGGTTTTAGAAGGTTGATGTCATTGAAACTTTTGATGAGTATCTTATAAAGTATACTTTCGCACATGTTATTCCTATTTTAACGGTGGCCACTTTTCCACATGATTAGTGCTGGTCCTTTAGTTATGTAAATCCACACCTTGAAATCGGGATCGGTAGTCATCCTCTTGAACGAGCCGACAATATAAAGCGTGCCCGTACCCGTGTCCACCATCTTCGCCTGAGTACTATACCTGAAACACAATCACAATTTTCCGAATTGCGACCTTATGACCAATAAACATGTTTTATACGAGGCAATCGAATTTTAAGTCGGTAGAAAGATCCGTGGATAGAAAGAATTTATACGGGAATCTGGGACACGTCCTATACATACTGTCGTGAAGAAAGAATGCGCCAAAGAAGAAATAGCGCAATCGATTTTGATATACCGAGTATAAGCAGAGGGCTATCAATTCGTCGTCGTTTTAGCTCGTCCGCTTTTCGTTCAAGCATCTTTGACGTAATCCTTGCGAAGGAGCTCGACCTTCGAGCACACCCTCGATATTCTTACCCTCTGTCCCAAGTTGTACTGTGCAGGGGTGCCGAGGTATTGTGTATGCTTATAAAAGGCATTCGTAAGGGGACGATACTATCGATTGTTATGCTTCGTAAAAACTCGCGACAACTATGTATAATTTATGTCACGACGGCAATAGACAAACTATTTCCCGCTTTCAGCATTTTTTAATCATTCTAATGTTTAATATCTAATCTTTACTCTGTTAAAAAAGTTATATTTTTTGCGTAGTTTATTGATTTTATAATCTACTGTATGTTAGTATAAAATTATTACTGGGTGGTAAAAATTTTTGATATGTTTGAACTTTGGATAACTGATTGAAACTTACTGATTTGGGACTTTTGAGGGCCATCTCGAATATGCATTGTTAAGTTAATTGATGATCGTCGTTAACTACATGCGGTGTCTTTAAGCCGCACTGTGGTCTTCATCGGAGTGACGAACGGAGGGGAAATCATGGAGCGAGAACGATTGAGAAGACGAGGGATAATTTCACTTGACTGATGACGAAAGACGTGACCCTTTAATATAATGGCGAAAAGAGAAAGAATACATTAAAGTATATATTTCAAATTTTTGTACAACTAATTATTACAAAAATTTTATTATAAGAAAAATAAGACGAAAAATCATAGACTTTTTATGTTACCTAATAATATTGAAGTAAATATATGTACATACTATATTACAAACAATACAAACTTATATTTTTGGAAAATGTATTATTTTTCAAACTTTTTCTAGAAGTAACGTTTTATAAGTTCAACTTAATATATGAATAATTTCACATAGAAGATACGTTTTTTCTCTTATTTTTTCAAAAATTAAAAAAAAAGATGTACATTTTCACGTTAAAAAATACCTCGTCTCTCTCTCTCTCTTCCGTTTCTTTTAAATTACATAATAATATATATGTATACATAAACTCTACAAATAAAACTAATAAATATCGAGTTAAAAAATTCTAAAGGCTTTCGAGGAGAAGAGGAAACTCTTTTTTCTGCATAAAGAAAGTAAATGGGAGATAGAAGAGGGAGAGGTGCAGGCAGTAGAGTTCACCAACACCCGTACGGTCGACTCGAGGGGCTTATTCCGGCGGAGATACCTCTCGAGGACCGGCGACGATCATTAAAAGTTTAAACGGCCTCCATTGAAGCGAACGGCGTCGGATCCGACACTCGGCTTGAAGTCCGCCGCGCCGGTTGCTTTGATTTCCCCGATTTCCCTCGAGGAGAAAGGGTATGCAAGGGAAAATCCGAACCATCGAAGAAAGGCACGTAGACGTCACTTTCTAAGCGTTTACGCAACAATGCCGGCACAGTAGATGGTGACTCCGTGTGCGAATGACGTAAACACGCGAGAACGTTTTTCGGCCCTCGATCTCTTGGCTTTGACGTTATCGACGATCTCGCACGGAAGTACTTTTAATATATGCGTAACTGCCGACAGTGAACACGATCGAATACTTATAATAAATGTCTATCAGTTGAAAGGAAAGGAATGAATTGCAAGAATACGAGATCGAATGTTATCTGTTCATAGCTGCGGTCAGTTGTGTGAAGTTTGCCCCCCCCCCTTCTCACACTACTAAAAATTTAAAAACGACCACTCGATTGATGGTAGTATTTACCGAACATTAGTATTTATAGTATTAGCAAACATTAGTAAAACGACCACCAAACGAAATGCTTACAGTTATGATTATTTATACGCAGTCTGGAAAGTCATATTTTGCGAAAGGAGGGGCTAACTTCACGCGCGTATGTCTTTTTCATATTATTATTTACAACTTTGACTTAAACTATCAAATACTATCAAACGACTACCAATCGAGTGTTAATGGTCGTTTTTGAATTTTCAATAATGGGGGAAGGGGGGCAAATTTACACAGCTGCCGCGGTCGCGTGTATCGACAAACTGACGCGAAATATCACAAATATCTATGATAAATGTATATTGTGTCTATCAGTTGAGAGAAGAAGTAAACTTATACATTGTGTTAAGATTATAATAAGAACGCTTTTTGAGGGATAAGCACTAATTACCTTGAAGGAAAAATAAACTTTGGGTGAAATCAAATGCCAATTAGTAAAATTGCGAACTTCAATTAGCGATAATTACGTTGATAATTAATATAGCGTTAATAGTTATAGTATCGATACCCTCGAGATATTGTTTACTTTCTAGAGCATGTATTGGCTCATTATCGATAAATTGACGAGCTCATCGCGACATATTTGTCGAGTATCCCCAATCGGTTTGGATTTGGTTGCAGTCGATTGCACCGCGTGAGAGGTCGAAATCCCCGATGAAGATAAATGGGCGAGATTTCCTCGACCAACGTGGAGCCGATCGAACTGTCGTCGCGTTTCAACCCGTCGTAAAAGCTTTTGTTGACCGAGCAGCCGGGGATCGCTATGAAATAGTAATTTTTGGGGATCAATTGGACTTCGATGTAACTATCTCGATGTTTCCAACGTGAGATTGGTAAAGTTTTGTTGACCGAGCAGCGATCGAAGATTAGGAATGGAGTAACGAATCTCCTCGGGATTCAAGTCGGCTTAGGTATAGATCCCTTAGCGCTCTAACCACGAGAATTTTTGTTGACCAAGCAACGACTGAAAATCCGAGTAACGATCTTCGATATCTCAGGTGGTTTCTATCTTGATATTTCAATCTTGAAAATCTTTGTTGAATCAAGAAACTATTCGGAATCGGAATGGAGTGCCCCTTTTTTTGAGAATCGAGCGGAGATAAGAGTAAACTCTGAGCAGTCGATCAAAGTACATGGTCACATAGTAGTATCGCTTGTATTCGGTATCCTTGTCGGAGAATAACACGAACCGTACACGTGTCCACGGATAGGGGCGTGGGAATTGATTTGTACTGCCAAGAGCCGTTATACCACGTGTTTACTAAGACGCCTGTCTCTCGTTGCTCGCGCGGTTACTGGTACGGAAGACAGGAATACAGGCACTCTCCGTGGCGGAGCCGAGGGATATTTAGGCAAGTTCCGGTCGTCTTGGCAAACTCCGTTCGATCCTGCGGCGACGTCTATGCCCGGTGCGTCGCGCTAAAGATACCTCCGAAGTCAATTTTGACCATATATTAATCGGTATATAGCTTGTATACAGCAAAGCCTTTAATACGAGTTCTCTTAATATTTCATCTTTGAAACAAATGATCGAAACAGATTAGCTGTATAATCTTTTTTTAATATTAATAGAGATCTACTTATTTCTTCGAGTGTTTCCCAAGAAATATTTTGTTATACAGACATCTTTTTATTTGAAATAGTAAATTGTATATGAGAGAAACTGTTTATAAAATTGCAAAGTTAAAATAAACATTACTTTAAAGCTTTTTATTGCTAGAATCTGCCACGGAAACAAGATATTTAAATATCTTCTTTCAGTATATTATTAGTCATTAAAATAAACGTCGCGCGTATTTTTGCAAGCGATTTTTCCTATGAAGATGAGAACAATTTCTTCGCGAATTCGAGGTGCAACATTCGATCCTTGCGCGGGCGTCGTAAAACGTCGCGATTTTATCACACGGTCCAAAAAGCCTGCTTGCCGACTCGTCTCCACCTCTACGAGATTTATCATGGCTCTCAGCATTCGGAGGAAGACAATGAGAGCGTCTTTTCTTCTGCGCGCGCGCGCGCGATCGAACGAATCGCTATAAATCGCGAGACCCCTTATCGGCTCCAACCGCCGACCGGCGACCTTAACGGCGCCGAAATCTATGGACGCCGGAAAGTTAGACGGGCCCCAGTTTCCCAAAGTGATACGACCGCACCGAGAGGAGAAAGAGGAGGAGAGGTCTCGCCCTACTCCGGTTATACGGTATTCTGTCTCCGTTCGCGTTATCCACCTCTATCCACTTTACGGTGTGTTCCCATGAGCTCGTTATCTCAAAACGTAACGCGACGCGCATCTTGAACCGTCAAGATTCGAGATGCGTTGTAAACATGAGTATCACGCGATAATTACTACATAAATGAACCGGATAAAAAACGACAGCTTGAAACGGCGTTACGAAACGTTATTGAATGAAACACGAGATGCTGTATGTACGTCGACGTTGCCTCTCGGCTATTGAAATCGCATTTGCAGATGCAACTGTAATTTGATAATAACTTTCTCACCTTCTTGTTCCAGCGACTTCCACGACTTTACACCGGCTCCGACTCCACCAGAACGGCGTCAGGGTCCAGTAGGAACTACTCGCGCTTCTCGCCCAGCCCTCCTCGGGGAACAAAAGGACCTGTGACAAACGGTGAGCCGTCTTTTGAATATCTCATCGTCTTTCACTCAGAAATATGTTATACGCGTTAACGTCGGAAATGCTGCACTGAGAAAAAAGTCTGCTTAAGCGAACAAAATTAGCAATCTCACTTTCATCTAAGAGATATCAAATTTATCGAGCAAACTAGTAATTGACGCAATTTCGTCAATGCACTGTAGCGTAATTATAATGTCTTTATACAAAATGTGTTAATTACGTAACTTGCTTCGTTGATTTTATTCTCGGTTGAACGTATTTTGTTCAATCAAGCAGCTCTCTCTCTCTCTTCTCAGTGCAGGATAATAGAACGTGGAACGTCGATAGTAAGCTCGCTCGAGGAGCTATAGCGCCCTCAAATAAAGTAGACGGGATTGGGAAAAAGGCTTCGTCGGGACTTCTTCGCGGCATCTTCGACGAGTTCGAGGCTTCCCGAGGAAGATTTGTTGGAGTTCTTCCGCGGAAGAGGGAGGACGCCCTCCCCTCGTGAGAGAGAGAAAAAAAACTCGACCTTCTTCCATCCCACGCATCCCACCCCGGTGATCCGGTTTCCGCTCTTCGGCTCTCCCGAACCTCGGCTATGTGACCGAAATATTGAAACCGCGCACCGCGCCCGAGCGAGCGCGCGCCGTACCTTTCTTATCGCACGCACGCGACAAAGAGAGAGACATCGCCGTGTCTTTCTCTTCCTTTTACGGATCCCTCGCACGCGATGCAAGCATCCGTCATCCCGAGGATTTTCTATACTGCCAACATGGATAAATCGCTCTTTAATCGGTACACATATCTCACGAGAAACACGTGAGGTTGTTGTTCTTCTTTTGACAGTTTGGCAGAAACAGGTCGGTTGCGTGAAACTTAGCTGGCCTAGATTTACATCGATTTGACTGTCGATTTCTATTGTTAAGAATGTCGTAAAAATCATGAAACTTAAATTTTTTTTCAATATCTATAACTATTATGCATACGCTTATTCTTATAATAATATCTAATATCTTCAATATTTTTAATATAATTATAGCTCCATAAAAAATTCCTAAAATAATTAATGTTAACCCAGAAGCTACGTGAAATTCCCCTATTTCGCTATAAATCCACCTGAATCACGTACCGAGGCAAATATTTCGCTTTATCAACATAAACCCATTTCGCTTCTTCATTACTATTAACCTGGCATCTGCAAAGCTCTCTTGGCAACAGTTTTGCTGGCACCCCAGATATTCCGCGATAACCGTGCATTTCCGTCGAAATTACGATACGTCGTAAATTGCCATCTGTCAGCAAGAATGCGCTTTCTTCTTCCCTCGAGCTATGAGAGTGAGGGCGGCGAGACGCGAGAAGAGGAACACACGGACGAAGTCGAAAGGACGAAGGGTTAGAAGAACTGCTCTCGACGATCGGATCCTTCCCTTTCCTCTCTCTTTTTCGGGTTACCGCGAGATAGCTCGTTGCCAAAATTTCTTGATTCGCCGTTCCGGAACAGCGGAACGGTCGGGGGGGACAATCTCTGAGAGAGAGAGAGAGAGAGAGAGAGAGAGAGAGAGAGAGAGAGAGAGAGAGAGGCGGGGAAGGGGGAGGAAAGCGCGATTTTATCGGATCTCGTGGAATTGCATTCCAGCCACGTAAACGGGAATATCGAGATTCAGATGAACCTCCACCTCGTCTCTCCGTCCTTTCGTTCCGATACGAGTCCGAGGGTGGTGCAACAAATTCATGATTAACGTCCGTTTCCTGTTTTCTCTTTTTTATTTTCATCGTTTCCAATAGTAGCCAAATCGACGCGCGCTAATCTAACAATCAAAACTTAGATTTTGATCGCCGAATGCGCTAATCTGTAATAGCCGCGATATTACGCAATCCTGAATGTTTGATTCTTTAAATATTAATTTTGATTGCATTACCAAAAATTTTAACATTTTTTATGTCGTTGATTTGATTTAAACAAATAACACACACGTAATGCATTATATAACGAATAAGTTAAAACGTTGAGTTTTTTATTTTTTCTCCTGCAGCTGTGTACACAACTCGATTTCTAGATTGATGAAACCGCGTGTTTTCTACGTATAATTGCCAACTCAAAAACATGTATTTCTACTTCTAACTGAGTTGGAATGAATGACGGTAACGTGTACGCAAATATGTTCTCTACTGTGAACTTTAATATATTAAAAATTCAAAGTTCTATATTACTGAGTTAGCTTCGTTTCTCGAAGTTTTCTGCGCTGTTTTTTTTTTCCAACCTTTGCACAGCATCGCCCGTGTATAACGGTATCACACGGCCGAAACCGAGCACATCTCTGCAACGCGGAAAATCTATATCCCGCGGCCATAAAGTATGTATAAAGCTGGAAATACAATTCGCGTATAGACTGGCGCAATTATTCGCTTGCTCGCCGATCAAACTCGCATGATTACGTTCGCAGTGTCGGTTCCACAGTTCCCTCCTGCTCTTTCTCTCGACTTGATACCGCAGCAACCAATCGAACGTGCTTCACGGCCGAGTTTACTGGTCTTTAATAATGTTTCGCGAATCATCGAATCGCATTAGTCGGAAGTAGCGAGATCCGCTTTCGCATCCATTCGGTGAAATCCATGTTATTTAGTATATTTTATGCTGCGGTATATTATAACGCGTGACGTGCAGTGATTATCTTTGGTCCGTTACGTTGCAGTCTTTCATTTACCATGCGGACTGTTATAGGTACATATAAAATTCTGTTTTATATGTGATTAACTAACTCCGTTTGGTAGTAATTATTTATTTTAACTACAGTTCTTCCTCGTTCTCTGTTTATGTTATTATTGAAATGCAGATAAAGATAGTCCGCGCATTAAATATGACTCGAAATTGGCTTAACTCATTTTTCAAAGTAAACGGCTTATTCATCTTTCAAAAGAAACTTTTTAATATAGTTAAATAGTAATTGAAACTTGAATTGAAAGCTTCAGACACAACAAAAAAGGAAACGTGTAAGATCAACGCTTACAGAATTTCAAATTCCTTTCGAGTCATATGTATCGAGGTATCAGACGGAAACTGATTGAAGCTGGCTTCAATTTTGACCGAGAATGTCTCGAATCGGCAATTACTTGTATATTGCGTCGAGGGGAATACTGAATGACGCGCCAATATTCCGCCTTTTTGCTGCTTTTAATAAGCAAGGATCACGCACGAATCTTGCAATTTCCGCTTTCGATTCGAGCTCAAGCGCGGGGTGGATCGTAAGGACGAAGTCCGGGCAAAGTAAAATAAAAGCAAACGACCGTGCACGCGCGCGCGCGAAGTGGAGCAAAAAGAAGCAACCGCGGCTGCTAAGGGTTGCCGAGTAAAGGCGGAATACAAACAGCTGAAGGGACGAAGGACGGAATTTCTCGGCCAAAGTTTCCGCGCTCTTTCCTCCCGTCTATTTTTCTTTCCGACTCCTTCTTTTCCGTCTCGCTTCCGTAATTTTCGCCCGTATATTTTGCAATTCCGGGGCGACGCATATCTGACCTTAGAAAGACTGTTTATTGTTTGTTAAGACATTAAGACATTTTTTCTTCTGGAACATGTAAATAAGTCCACAGACTGTTGGACAAAATTCAGGGAGATCGATAAGAGACTTTACTGTAACAACGGAAGTACTGTAATAACGTATTTTTCAAGCGAGTATTTTTCAAGCCATTAATTCGAGAATTTTTGAAATAGTGACATTTTGTGTATGCCATTAGATGTCGCGATTGCGGGAACATGTAAACCACAATAGCAGTCCTCCTTTCTCCTCTGCAGAAGAACAATCATACAAATTGAACCAATTCTCGCGGATCGGAAACGATCAGAAAACGGGCGCGGGCTTGTTGTGTAATGGCTGCCCTTTCCTGTCGAACATGCAAATTTATTGGCGTTCAAACACCGAAACGCCCGGAGGCGGACAATTTGTGCATTAACGATCCCAATTGCCCGTCGTATAGTTATGGGTCCCCCCTTTTTTTTGCGGAATAGAAACCTTTCCCTGTTTACGTCGCTTTTGAAGTTCAATTATTGCGTGACAATTATCTTTAACGTATGAAATAATGAAAGGAATAACGTATCAACAAGAATGGAATTGATTATCAGTCGCGAAATTCAGAGGTAAAAAACAAACAAACCTCTGCCATGTTTCATTTGTCCATTCATATCCAGATCCTAGATATTAAAATTCTTTCGCGTCGTCGCAATTCTCCTGCAATTAATGCTACCGCAATTTAAGTTGGAGGCCAAATTTAGTTCCACGAATTTAATTTTCTCCCTAAGATTAATTTCGAGTCGAGTCATCGAAAAAGTGGGTTGGCCCGCTGTTGCATTCCGCGAAATTGCTCCGCTGACTCTCGCACGGAGTTTCGCGTTGTTATCGTCGCGTTTACGTGCCCGCGATAGCGAGGAGCGGGAACAATCGGAGTCGTCGACAAACGCGCCCGATATTATGCGCACAAGGATCACACTGCGACTCGCGTTTATATCGGTCTGAATGCCGTTGATTGAATAAGTGGATCTCACGCGCGGCTGGCGTCGTCGCCACGACTTCCTTCTTGTTTCTCTCTCTCTCTCTCTCTCTCTCTCGCTCTGTTTCTCTCTCTGCAGCTTGCGCGCGAGTTCTCTCCTCGCGGTAATTTACCATCCCTCAAATCACAGGGAAGCAACCGGGAATTTTGCAACGGTTCCTTCCTTAGTCACGCCCGTCATCTATTTTCCTGCCCCACTTCCGCGTGTCACGAAAGCATGCTTAATTATCGTCGGAAACGACATTAACGTTCGCTATAATTTCGCGCGATCGATTTTCCGCGCGTTTTATACACGAGCGGCACAGAAGAAGTTCACCAGAGTTATGTACTGCGCGGACAATTGGAGAAATATTTGACGTAATTAGGTCGCGTTTGGAGTCCTATTTCCGAGCAAACGTGTCTCATTAACGACGAAATTGAACAGATGCGGAAAGAGAGTTAATTTGACAATGTAATGA